TTGGGCTCGGCAGCGTGGCCTAGTGGCTAAAATCCTCACTGTGAACGTGCCAGGATCCCATATGGGCGCCAGTTCTAATCCCAGTAGCTCCACTTCCCATCCAGCTCCCTGCTTGTGGCCTGGGAAAGCAGTCGAGGACAGCCCAAAGCTTTGGGACCCTGCACCCACGTGGGATACCCGGAAGAAGTTCCTGGATCCTGGCTTCGAATTGGCATAGCATCGGCCGTTGTGGTCACTTGGGGAGTGAATCATTGGACGGAAGATCTTCCTCTCTGTCTCTCCTCCTCTCTGTATATCTGACTTTCCAATAAATAAATAAATCTTTAAAAAAATGAAAGAAAAGCCAAGTTCTTTCCTCAGAAATCTACAATAGAGAGTTTAAAAGCTGCCCACAAGACAGGGGTAATGGGAAGTCTAGCGCTCCGCAGCAGTACCGGGGCAGTAAGAAAGGGTGTTGTTAGCACAGCACACGGCAAGCTAACCTCCTCCTGCGGCACTGATATCCCACATGGGTGCCAGCCCTAGCTGCTCCGCTTCTGATCCGCTCCCTGCCAAGGGCCTGGGGAAGCAGCAAAGACTATTCCGTGGACCCCACTGCATGAAGACCAGATACAGGCTCCTGGCTTCAGGCTGGCCCAGCCGCAGTCATTGCAGAAACTGGGAGGGTAAATCAGCACATGCAAAACCTCTGTGCAGCCTCCTCTCTGTAACTGCCTTTCAAATCAAAATCTCTAAGAGGCAGGGTGGGGGGGGGATGTTACTTTTGGCTTCATTTTTCTAACAATATTCTTCAAGACTATCATAACCTCTTCAATCTCTACTCTCTCATACACGCACATACACTCACTCCAAGATCAAGGTAAGACAGTCTATTTTCTCTTCTTCACCCCGCTTTCTCCCTCGCTCTGCAACCATTCCACATTTTGCATTCCCTAGCAGCTTCCACCGCTGATTATATAGCAAACAGTAAAGGATCTGCTCAAAGGCTTCCTTCTGTCACACCACACTGCAATGTTTATCCCTCTCCTTCCTTGCTTTCCTGAACTGCGAGTTCTTCAGGAGCAGCAGCTCTGTCATTTCCAGATTCCCGGTGCCATGATTTTCCAGGGTTAGAAGACCGTCTTCCAACTAGACGGGTAAGCCGGGTATCCCCTGCTTCCAGCAGGGGCACAAGTCCCATTCTGCCCGAATCCCATCTCTTCCATGCTTTTCTGCACAAGCGAGCAGCCCTTTCCCCAGCTATATTCAACACTCCATCTCAATCAACTCTTACCATCAGCCTGTAAACATGCTTAAATCCAAACTCTTGCAAGCAGTGTGCCTCGCTTGTCTCCATCCACTCCTCGCCCACCCCCACTTGTTCAGCCATCCCCCTCCCACCACACAGCAGCGTCTCTCGAGGTTACTAGTGACCTCCACATCGCTGGGTTCAATGGAAGGGTCTCCTGTTAGAGAAGCCTTCCACAGTACTAACCCTCCCCCTGCGGGGACATGGCTTCTGCGCGACCTCTCACTCTCCGGGCCACCACGTGCGTCTCTACCCGTCATTACCCCAATCATCCTCCCTTCAGCTTCATCTATGTTTCATTAGACAATCTCCATGCACACCCTGGATTCCAGCTCACACCTCTACAACGAGAGACCCATCCCAAGTTCTTAACACTAAACCTGTAGCTCCCGTAGGTCTCACAGCAGCTCTAATTGAGCATTTCCAAATCCAAGGTCGGGTTCTCCCCGCATCCAAAACACAGCTGTCTCCCGGCTCACGGAACGGCACAGACGCCTGCAGTTCCGTTAGTACGGAACCCAGCCTCACCCAACATCTCCTCCTCTGACTCCATAAACAGTTTACGACCATGATTTGACAATTTGGTGCCTAAAAATCTCCACTTTTTTGGAATATTTGTTTACCCTATAATGTTTGCAAAAGCTAACATGTCAGTACTTTGAAACAAAAAGAAAACTTTAACTATTTGTGATAATTAAATTGAATTCTTGAAAGCAGGGACTTGGTCAAGTTCACCTTTTGATTTCATCCACAGTACACCTGCTAAAGATGATGCTCTGCAAGCAGATGGCATTTGATGCAGTAAATAAATATCTATATGGCTTCATACAAGTTCAACTGAAATACTTATTTACTTAACAGCTTTTATTTCCTAATCTGTGCCATTACGGTTTTTGTTTGTTTTTCCTTCCTAAGTGGCAAGAAGTTTCTTTTAAGTAATTTATTAATTTTATTTGAAAGGCAGAGTGACAAAAAAGGGAAGAAGGGACACACAGAGAGCTTCCAGCTGCTGGTTCATTCCCCAGACGCCAACAGCAGCTGCAACTAAGCCACATGGAAGCCAGGAGCCTGCCACTGCAGCAAGAGGCTAAAGCCTGTGAGCCGTCATCTGCTGTCTCCTGGGCAAATCTGCAAGAAGTGGACAGGAGACCTGACACTACAGGATGCCAGTCAATGAAAGCACTGGCTGAGAACCACGTGCCACAATGGTCACCCTTTTTTTGCTTCCTAAGATATGAGAATTGTATATCACTCTGTAAAGTGTAACAATGGCTATTTTTTATAATTATGACAATGTTTATCTAAAATCTAAGAAGCCTGCTGGGTCCAGTATGGGAGCACAGTACGTTATTTCTCTGCTTGGTGCACAGGCATCCCATGTGGACGCCGACTAAGGTCCAGGCAGCGCCCCTTCTGCTCCAGCTCCCTGCCTGTGCTCCTGGAAACCAGTGGAAGGACAGCCCAAAGCCTTGGGCCCCTGCACACGTGACACCTAAAAAGTAGCTCCTGGCTCCGAGCTTCAGTGAAGCCCAGCTCTGGCCATTGCATCCATATGGGGAGTGAACCAGCACATGAAAGATTGTTCTCTGTAGCTCTTTCAAGTAAAATAAACATTTTTAAATAAAGTATTTTAAAGTCTGTCACCTTTAGCCCAGTTTTTCTGAAAAAAAAAAAATCTGAATCTTGTCTTCAAATCCAAATCTCACATGAGAGTACTGTTTTCCTACTGTTCATCTCCAGAGGGGCAGAGTATCAGGAGATGTTTAACTCCTGCCATGAAGACAGACATTCAGAATGACGGACAAAGTTCCCACGTACTCACCTTGCAACGTGAGCTGGAGTGGCACTTCACATAGCAAGTGTGAGGTGATATCTGTCCTCACCCCCATGTTCCCAGTTCCTGCATGACATACACCTCATGGCAGCCTCCAAATGCAAGGCGGGGACCGCAACAGCTGCGCTCTCTCCCCTCCCGGCTCTGCCACCAGCCTGGAGCTCCGGCACGGCAGGATCCCACTGCAATCTCCATCAACACAAGGTTTTCCCTTCACGGAGGGTCACAGAACCTTCATTAACACCACGCTTTCCCTTCATGGAGGGTCACAGAACGTGTAATTAGATGTTTATCTGGATGATCACTCGCTTCCTGTCTGGGTCTTCCCTGGGGGTAGGGATCTCATCAATGCTGTTGGCGGCTGCTCTCCTCTTCCGGCGCCTAACAGGGGTGCCTAACACACAACCCAAGTGAAAAGAATCCAGCCGAGCAGTGAGCCAGTCACCCAAAACCAGCACAGCACCTGCGCAACTGAACTTGACCTCTAGGCTTTAAGACCCGATCCCTCACCCCAGGCTCAGCAGGGAGTCACCAGCTCCCACCACCCTTTCTAACTTCCAGGAGCTTTGGGACTCAGAGTCTACGTGCGTTTCAAGTCATCTGCTCAGATGTCTTACAGACGCAGCGAGACCCCAAGACACTTGGCAATTCCACCCAGGCCGGGTGGGCCACTCTGCGCTACACCCAGCATGCACCATCCCACCGTACTAACAGCTGAGAAAGCAGGTGGCCTAAAGAAAAACATAGGTCAGACTGGTTGACAGGCTTCGCTCAAACCTACAGGGTGAGAACTGCAGATGACTCCAGGGGACAAAGGAGCAAAGTCTGCGCAGTCGCCCCCAGTCACACTACAACTGCAGGTCGCCCCTCAACAGCCACCCAGCACACTGCAGGAGCACCCTCCACGCTCCAATCTCACCTGGAGACCCAAAATGGGCTGTGGGGTCCTTCACCAAGACCTACAGCGACCTACAGCACCACTGCACCCCTAAGACTCCAACCCACCGGACTCTCCCGTGGCGAGAGCTTCGGGTCAGGGCAGGCGGCCATGCCAGTACCTCCTCACCATCCCCGTCAAGTTCACGCGGGCAGGCAAGCCTCAGTTTCTCCCGCTGTGAAGTGGGAACAACTACGCCAACCGGGCAGGGCTGTCAAAAAGACAAGCTCTCCGAGGTCACCGAGTGCCACCTAACAAAGGCCCCAAAGAAGCCGGGCTGCCTGCTATGGGATGTGGCCAGAACCGCTGTCCCAAAGCCCCCATCCCCTTTGCTGCTTCCTCCAGTGATTTCAAAGACGTCGCTGTTGCCCTGTGCCTCCCTCCGTTCGCGGGACCTTATCTATCAAACAGCACCTTTGCTCAAACCGGCCCGTCTGGGCCAACCTGCCCAATCTGTGCTTCGGGTTCCTCGGCGGTGGAACGGACCTCATCCCGCCACCCCACGGGTCGGCCTGCGAAACGCAGCTGCCTCCTGTGTCTCCCCCACCCCCCCCACACACACACACACAGCCCAGCACGTCCTGGTGTGTAATTACAACGCACGGAGGAAAAAAAAAAAGTCAAGCTGCTACTCCCAACCCCCAGGCATCAGCCCACCTCCGCGGCCGCCGATGCCCACGCCGTGCGCTCCCTCCCTGCCCGGCACAGCTGGCCGGCCTCACGTGGGCCCGAGCAGCCCCGGGGACCCCCGACCCCAGCCAGCCTCGGCGTCTGCCCCAACTGCTGCGGGTCGCTGGCGTGCGCACCCACCCGCCGCCCAGAGAAGCAGGTTCCGCGGGCTCCTCCGAAAGGGCCGCGTCCTCCACACCCCCTCAGCCCGCCGCCAACCGGCTCCCCCGGGCGCCCCCACAACGGGCGCCGCCGCCGCCGCCGCTGCTCACCGCGCTGCCGGGGCCCCGCTTCCCTCGGCCTCGGGCCCACGCGCAGGCCCGACTGCGCCCCCACAGCATCCACGCCTCGCGCCCGCCGGCTGGGGCCGCTCCGCCGCGCGGGGGAGGCCCGTCCGCCGCCGCCGCCGCCGCCGCCGCCTCCGCCTCGGTCCCAGCCGCGGCCGCGGGGACAAGCGCAGCGTCGCTCTCCGGCGCCGGCAGCAGCGTCTGTTGAGCCGAATCGCCCGGGACGCGCAGCCCCGGCCGGCGCTTGTGGCTTATGCGGAGAGGCCGCCGCCCATTGGCCCGCGGGCGGTGGCGCGTGCCGGGCTGGGCCTATCGCAGGCCGGCCGGGGAGCGCGGCGCTGGCGGCCCGGGGCGGGGCGGGGTTACTAAGGGTCATTCTGTGGAGAGCTGGCCGCGGCCGGCGCGGGGCGGAGACCGGGCGGCGGGGAGGCCGGGCGGCCGGGCAGCCAGGGTGCCGGCGGCGGGGAGGCCGGGGTGCCGACGGCGGGGAGCCCCGGGCGGCCGGGGAGCCAGGGTGCCGGCGGCGGGGAGGCCGGGGTGCCGACGGCGGGGAGGCCCGGGAGGCCCGGGAAAGACCACCTCCGCCCCCCGCCCAGCCAGCCTGTGAGGTAACCAACGACCGCCCCTGAGGTAAATATACCGGGTTAGATGGGTAATCCTGTTCTTGGACACATTGGTGTCGAGACCCGGAAAAATAGAATGACTTTTGGAGCGGGTTAGGCTCAGAAACTCCAAGCACGTCCGCAGTTGTTCTTCCAGTCTTCACGTCTCTCAACCCAGCGTTGCAACCCGTTTTGCCCTAAATGCACCCGCTATGCACGAGTTTGCTATTTGCCTCTCTCCAAAACGTAAAGTTTACCCACCCACCCGCCCCCACATTACGGGTTTTGAACCTTCTTGGGTATCAAAGAATGTTTCTGGAGTTTAAAAGATGCCCTTGTGTCTGGTTTTGCACCCACGGGAAGGAGGGAAAGGCCCTCCGAGGCAGGTGGAGTGTGTGCTCACTGCCAAAGGAAACCAAACGGAAAAACAAACCACACTCACACAAATCAAAACCCCAGCGGCTAAAACAACAACTGCAGTGTGCTGCAAGAAAAGGCTTCTGTGAACGCAGGAATGGGACTTTGTGTTCTTTAACCCAACACGTTCTTGTGAACTTGAGGTGAAAGGTGGGGTTCATGAATCAGCTTCGGGTGAAAGCGGGGACTCCTTCCCTAGAGTGGCCAGAGCAGGGAGCCGCCAGGCGCTGAACACAGCTGTCACCTCTGGCCCTGAGCCCAGGAAGCCACCTGCAGGGATGGATACCTGCTTCGGGCAACCTGTTCTCCCACTAGAAAATGCTGCGTTTCCTTTACTCCTCGGTGAGATGAAATGCTGTGAAAAGTGGCCTCGTAAGGACGACTGGAGCACGAGTGTGGAAAGATTGCCACGTTGCTGCAACGGAAACGCTAGTTCCAGTCCCAACAAGAACCTCCAGAAAAACCAAACAACTTTTTTTTTAAGATTTATTTATTTTTATTGCAAAGTCATATATACAGAGAGAGGGAGAGACAAAGATCTTCCACCTGATGATTCACTCCCCAAGTGACCGCAGTGGCCGGAGGGCAGCTGAGCTGATCCGAAGCCAGGAGCCAGGAACTTCCTCCAGGTCTCCCACACGGTGTGCAGGGTCCCAAGGCTTTGAGCCTAAACCAAACGACTTCTAAAGGAAGAGCACCCACACTGAGCCCCTTCAGTACTGCAGTCCCAGCACTGTCTTCCCCCACCCCTTCCATCTCTAGACAAAAATTACAGCACTTGGGCCCGGCGCGGTGGCGCAAGTGTTTAAAGGTCCTCGCCTTGCACGCCCGGGATCCCATATGGGCGCCAGTTCTAATCCCGGCGGCCCCGCTTCCCTTCCAGCTCCCTGCCTGTGGCCTGGGAAAGCAGTGGAGGACGGCCCAAAGCTTTGGGAACCTGCACCCGCATGGGAGACCCGGAAGAGGCTCCTGGCTTCGGATCGGCATAGTATCCGCCCGTTGTGCTCACTTGGGGAGTGAATCATCGGACGGAAGATCTTCCTCTCTGTCTCTCCTCTCTGTATATCCGCCTTTCCAATAAAAAAATAATAAAAAAAAATAAATCTAAAAAAATAAAAAAAAAATTACAGCACTTCAGAAAGTTCATGGAAAGTGGACTTAGGTCGTTTTGCATCAATGCTTTTTCCCTAAACTTTTTGAAGACCCCCACCCTAAGCTTGCATTTCAAAAATGTTTTACATCAAGATAAACTCTCCATTCCATTTCTCCACAAACATTTTGAACCACCATTGAGACACACCCATTCACATATTTGGGGGCATGTATTATATTTAAAGGTAAATAGTCCTTGGAATTAAAATTCCAAATTTTATATTGTTTGCACAGACTAAACAAAATTGTAGTATTTGTACTATTTTTAGGGGACTTTCAGTTTTTAAAAACACAGATACTTTTGTTTTAGGAAAGTTGCAGTATGTTTTTACTAAGAACTTTTGAGAGTTACAGAATTTGGCTGCATCTCATTACTGTTATAAAAACTCAGTTATGGGGCTTGGCACTGTAGCCTAGGGCTAAAGTCCTCGTCTTGAATGCGCCGGAATCCCATATGGTGCCAGTTCTAATCTTGGCAGGCCCCACTTCCCATCCAGCTCCCTGTTTGTGGCCTGGGAAACCAGTCAAGGACAGCCCAAAGCCTTGGGACCTTGCACCTGTGTGGGAGACCCAGAGGAAGCTCCTGGCTCCTGGCTTTAGATTGGCTCAGCAGACAGAAGATCCTCTCTGTCTCTTCTCTCTGTTTATCTGCCTTTCCAATGAAAATAAATCTCTAAAAAAAAACAATAGGAAACTAATCATCCAGCGAAGGAAAAGACCTGCAGGAGGACAGTGGCTGCTTTTGTCTTTTTGTAATTTTCCCAAATTCAGCAGCATTCAGGAATGATGCCTTTGTAATTTTCAGGAACATCTCCTGACGTGTTTGATATTACAGGGGTCCCACTTGACATAACTGTGGTCATCTTGAATATACTGCCATCTTGTATGATATATTGTCATTGTCCCACAGCGATGGACTTGGTGCATGGAGCCGATAATAACACATGTGGACTACTGACTGATGGTCAACAGCTGAAGTTTATTAGTGGCATCAGACTTTGTAGACCGAGGGTCACATAGCATAAGGGAGAAGATATTGAGCTTTTCAACAAGACCCATCAACTGTTTCTATACTTCTGCTTGGGAATTCCTTTTGTTTTGTATATCTCACAAAGTGTTCTCAAGCACATGCTGTCCACTCAGCTGTCCTCATATACATGATATCCGTTTAGTTATACGAATGGTACACACTCAGTTGTTGTCATACAAATGATGTCCTTGATATGTTAAGTATGCACTTGTCTCTTGGGAGAAACGTGCGCTGATGAATCCAAGACATGGTGGGGAAGATACCGTTTTATATTTGGAAAAAAATGACTGGGTGACCCAGAATACCCCAACTGCATACTACCAATCTGAGTCCTCTCACAATCTCTCTGCTGTTTTACTTCCCAAATGGCTGTTGCAACTAGGGCTTGGCCTGAACCAGGCAAAAGACAGGAGCTCCACGCTGGTCTCGTACAGGAACTACAAGGACCCAGGCTGGTTGGTGGGGCATCATCTACTGCTTTCTCGGGTGCATTAGCAGGGAGCTGGACCGGGAGCAGAGCAGTCTGCACTCAACTCGGAGCTCCAACCTGCAGTGACAGTGTCATAGTGGAGGCTTAGTCCACCCCAGCACAGCACAAGCCCCCCGTCTCTTTCTCATAGGACTTCACAGGCATGAAATAATTACCTTCCACTTGTACTTTTTCCTTTCCGAAATGACCCATGTTCTATCCCTTACTTGCTTTTATTACTCTTTTCTTCTCTTTATCATTTAGAGGACAAAACGAATACCTAAATTTTTAAGGAACTGGCAGTGTTAAAACATGTTGAAACGATCTATTCTCAGCCCTTGTAAATCAGAATCCCATTAAAATAACCTAGAATGACTAGGCTTTTTGAAATAAAAGTAGCTTCATTCCTGGTTTCCCAGTCCATCTACTAATTCCCAGTGAAGGCCATGAACATGTACTCTAAAAACTCCACAAACCTCTTCCAATCTGTTGCCAAGTTTTTTTGTTTAACATGTAAGCTTCTGCACATGCAAGCTTTTGCGTTATCATTAGTTAACACTCTGTAATGCATTCACTCTTTTGAGTCTGCTTTCCATTAGCGAAAGTGTGTGTGCAGAAATCCCAGATTTCAGGCAGTTATCCTAATCTTAAAATAGTGTTTCTCTGTAATTCTAGACTTGAAATATTTGATCAAAAAGTAAGCATCCAGGAGCAGCACTGGGCATTGTGACTAAGATGCCATTTGAGAGGCACGCATTCCATATCAGTGCTTCCATTCAAATCCCAGCTCTTCCACTTGTCAACCAGCTTGCTGCTAACATGTGTTCTTGGGGGCAAAACATGATGGCTCCAGAACGTGAGTCGGTGTCTGGCAAACCCAGATGCGATTCTGGGTCTCATTTCTGTTGGGGATTGAATTTATGAATGGAAAATAGCTCCCTCCCTTCCTTCCTTTCTTGTTTCCTTTCTTCTTTTCTTTCTTTCCTTCCATATCTCTCTCTCCCCTCTCACTTTTTCTCTGGAAACCCTAGATATATTACACCTGTTTGCCTACTTGTAAATAAGAGTGGAAAATAATGATTGAAGCATGTAAGAGTTTTTATTCCACATAAAGGAGTGTGAGACTCAGTAGTCCAGGACCAGTATTGTAATCCTGTGGTATCATAATGGACACTGAAAGTGCTCCATTTGGTTTAAAAGATAGTGCAGATAAAGAGCAACTTTTCTTTTCTTTTCTTTTTTTTTAAGATTTATCTATTTATTGCAAAGTCAGATATACAGAGAGGAGAGACAGAGAGAGAAAGATCTTCCGTCGGATGGTTCACTCCCCAGGTGAGCGCAACGGCTGATGCTATGCCGATCCGAAGCCAGGACCCAGGAATTTCCTCCGGGTCTCCCACA